AGCAGGCCCCCGCGGGGGCGGCTGGGGGGCCGGATTTGCGGCCCGAGCGGCTCGTGCCTCTTGCGTGCCGGTTCTGGGCGCTTTGCATCGTGCCAGATGCGCTCGGTTCCTGCTTGTTTGGGGCAAGGGCGAGTTGGGATGGGAGGCCCTGCCCAGGGACCCCTGGCGATTCCCAAGCCTTCTCTGCATCCTAGTAGTGGATTAGTTTTCCACATCGCTTGCGAGCCGCAGAGGCGGGAGCTTGCGGTTCCAGCGAGAGCCGCAAGCTCGGGCTGCTGGTTCTCGTGCCTCGAAGACTTCGCCCTCCCTTGCAGCTGCTTCCCGGCATACGTCTTGACTGACGGGGCCAGGGAAGGCTTGTTTCTGTCCCTGCAGACAGGCCTGGGCTAGCCAGCTCGTTCATGTGTTTCGGGTCCTTCGGAGACCCTCTGAGCGGTCCCTCGGGTCAGAAGGGTCTCTGACGTCCCAGCTGAGGTCCCGGCTGTCCTGGCCCTCCTTCCAGGATTCCTGGGCAGCCGTTGCCCCATGTTCCACTGGCTTCTGAAATGCGCCAGGTGGCTCCCCACGTCGGGGCCTTCTTGGTGGTGGCCTCCCAGTGGATGGAATTTCCTGCCTGGGGAGCCTCCCTCCCCTTCCCTCCTCTTCCTCTTCTCTTCTTTTTCCCCGGAAGTCCACGGATCCCACCCTATTCTGGGCAGCTCTTCGATTTTGGAACAGCTTGCGGTCTCCAAGCCAGCCACCGCTTCTGCGTTTCCCCGCTCCTGCTGGCGCTGCATCTGCCGCCATCCCTCTGGGGGTGAAGACGCGCGTTTTAAAAATCGTGTGCCGGTTGTCTTGTCGTGTGGCAAGTGAGGGCGACTGCCTCGCCACAGCTCGGAAAGCCTTTTGGGGTGCACGATCGAGCCCGAGCACGCCCGGGCCCTCTCCCCGCCTCGTGGGGGCGACCCTTCCGCAGCGCGCGAGGCGCCTGGGAGAGCCCCCCGCTCTGCCCGAGAGCCGGCTGCCCCTCCGCGCCGGCCCAGGCATGTGGGAACGGCTCCCGGGCACACTGGGGCTCTGGGGGCCTTTTCAGGAAATTTCTGAGAATAACATGTTCTAAAAATGGGAGCCTCTTTCCACACATACTTCCGGGAAAAGGCCGGGTTAATTTTAGCAGTGGCGCCCTTTTCCGTTTCCGGGGGAAGGCATGCTTGGCTCGCCTCCGGGCGGGAGGCTGCTGTGCGTACGTGTGCACCGCCGAGGCGGCTTGGCCGCAGCCCAGGGCCGGCCGCCCCGCGGAAGGGGAGCCGGCCCTGCGGATCCAGCCCGCAGGCCGTGCTCTCGGGCCGCCGGCCTGGCCCGGCCCAGCCCCCTCCTGCCCTCCCCGCGCTGGGGGGAGTGGGGAGATGGATGGGGGGCTCGGGGCCCGGGCCGGGGCGGCCGCGCGCGGCTTCCTGTGCAAGTTGCGTACAGGGCCTGCGGCACCGGCTGGGAATATGTCGTTAATTTTTATGCTTTCCCCTGTAAACCATCGACCTTCTTTATGATGTCAGGAGGGATTCCTTAATTTTGCAGCTGCTTCCTGGTTACGTCAGAGGAGACCCTCCTGTCCTGGAGCCGCCAGTCGTGCTCCCCGCTGGGGGGCTGTGGGGGGAGGAGCAGATGAAGTGCCGAGGATCTAATAGCTTCCACGGGGAGGGCCGCTTGGCTCGCGCTGCCTCCCGTCCTCCAGCAAGCCTTGCCTTGACCTCCTCGCCCCGGTCCCTAAGACACGGCCGGGGCCGGGGCAGCCGTGCTCCCCAGCGAGGCTCCTGTGGGCCGGGCCGGGGCCTCCGGGAGAGGGGGCGCAGTCCCCACCCCCCAGAATATCCGGCTAACCTAGGGCGCCCTCGTGCTTCTGGAGGGCTGCCGCTTCACAGAGCGGCTCCAGCGCTTTGCGACCCCTTGTCGCAGGCCGCCTGAAGGAAGCCCCTTTGAGGCTTGCCTGGGATGGGGCTGATGGGCCACGCACCGGGGCCTCGGAGGGCACGCGTGGCGCAGCTGAGCAGGGGAGGGGATTCCAGCAGCAGGGCACTGCCTTCTGGACGCCTGGCCTTCCTTAAAATCAGAACTCGGAGTCCTTTTCCGAGCAGGCAGCTCCAGCGGGTTGGGGACACTACCAAACAGGCCCTGCCGCTGCGCTCTGCTGAGGAGGGGCTTGGAACGGCCCCTCTTGATCCGGGGTCGTTTTGTGGAGGGTCTTTCCGGGGGCTGCCAGGAGCACTTGGCAGGCGTCCGTTGCCCCGTTCTCTCTTCCCCGAAAGGGAGAGTAAGCGGATGCCCCTTGTGGCCGGAGGAAACGCACTGAGAAAGCAGAGAGCAGTCTGCGTGCGTGCGTGTGTGGGCGGCAGGGCTGGGGGGCTCGGCTGCCCCTTTCCCCTGCCCCAGCTTCTGAGCCCCCAGGCAGCTGCCTCGCTGTCTTCTGACCCGTCCCATCCTGTCCGTGCTCCGGCCGTCAGGCTCGGGCGCCTTCGCCGATGCCCGCAGCACACGTCGGTGGGGCCCCCAAGCGCCACAGCGGCCCGTCATCGGGGAGTGGGGGCGGCGGGGCGTCGGGCACACGCCAGGCCACTCCTTTGCTGCGGGGCCTGCAGAGGAAAACCCCGGCTGGGACGCTCCCCCCCCCCCCCCCGTTCCAGGGGCTCACATTCCCGCCCGGCTGGCGGGCCCACCTTTCCTTCCTCACGCGCGCCGTGCGGGAACACGAGCAGCCGGCTGCCTCGCCCCCCCCCCATTGCTCCTGTCCCCTCTTGCCCACTTCCTGCAGGGAAGGGCCAGCCACGGGGGCGGGTGGGGGCCGTGGGGATGCCCGTGCTGTCTGGCTGGAGCGTGACTCACGAGGCTGGAACTTGAGTGTCTGGGCGGCGAGGAGGAAGCAGCAGCCGGCCGTCCCCAGGTGGTGTCAGCGCGGAGGGAAGGAGGCATCCGGGGAGTCGGCCCCCTTGCCGTCCTCCTTGCCAGCTGGCGGCCTGGGGGGGAGCGGTCACTGCCTCTGTTCCTCTGCTGCCGCCGAGGCAGCTGATGGTGCACCGGGGCTGCCTCCGCGGGAGCCTCGCCCGGCCCTGGCTGGAGCGGGTCCTGCCATCTGCACAGAAGCCCCTCTGCAGCACGCGCTTGCCTGCCCTTGGCCTTCCCTCGGAGCAGCGGCCCTTCAGCCGACGGGCCAGGCCGCCTTTACCCCGTTCCAAAACGCTGCATCCGCAGACTTCGGATTCGGCCTCCCCTGGCCTGGCACCGGCACCGGCACTGCCCAGGTGTGCTGGGAAGCGCCGGCTCGCACGGGGCAAGTTCCTGGCGTGGCGGAGGGCTCGGCGAGGCGCCCTTGCACGGGCCTGTGCAGCCCCCCGCTGCCAGGCCCTTTGGCCCAAGGTCCGCCTCACTGCGGGCCTGCCAGCCTGGCCTTGCTCTGCCGCTCTGCCCCGGGTCCCTGGCACGGGCCTTGGCACCCCGTTCCCCCGCCCCAGGCCTTCCTCCCATGGTGAGCCGGGGGCCCTCCCGGCCCCCTCGCTCCCCTCGCTTCCGGTGGTCAGCCTGGCCCTGCTGGCCCACGGGAGAGCCTGGCAGCCACGTCCGGTCCGCCCTGGCCGGGAGGCCTGTGTTTATCACTTTTCCTGGAGATTATCTGTTTCAAGCACTCCTTGACAGTTACAATAACAAGGGCTGCGCTCTCGGTTTCCCAGCAAGAGGACACTCGCTGCCGCTGAAAGATGTACAGCGCTAATTAGAAACGCATAACATCCGGCCACATGGCAGCCTTCTCCTGGCCGCCCCGTTTCCTGAGACCCGACAACTTTGACGACAGTTGGTTTGTGTTTTCCATGAATATTATGTTCTCTGGGAAACCGAGATGCCTCTCGGCGGTGCAGTGCAAGGCAGCCCAGGTAGAGGCGGAAGCCGGAGCGTGGCCTGCGCAGCCGGCAGGTCCAGGTGCGGGCCGGTGGCGGAGAGGAGCCCCTGCCCGCACGACCGGGCTGGACGCCTCCCTCAGCCCCCTCCGGTCACTGCCCTCCTGCCTCCCCACGCAGCTGAGGGCTGCCCGCTTGGGGCCGGTCTGGCATCCCGCCCCCACGAAGCCACGCTGGCTGCTTTGACCCGCCAGAGGGGATGTGTGTTCCCCGGACAGATGCAGACGGTGACACGAGGAAAACAGGCAGTGCTGGCATCCGGAAGGAGCAGATACGATCCGGGATGAGCCACCGTCCCGGAGTAGATAGCAGAATGTGTGTGAGAATCATAAACATCCGAGCAACCGGCCCTCCCGAGTGCCTGCGGGAGACAAAAGGCTGCGGCCTGGTGTCGAAACTGTGTGGGCACCAGGACGGTCTCCGTGGGGAGGATGCCCCGCGAACGGAGCAGCTGCAGCCAGGAGGCCCCCTGCCCTCAGTCCCTCGCCCAGCCGCATTCGGGGGGCCCGCAGCCGCAGGGGCGTTCGTCGGCCTCCATGTAACTTGACTGGCCTCAGTGGCACACTGAGCAGCCGGAACACCATTGGCAGGGCCAGGAAGTGCGCCCAGGCTCTCCCTGCGGAGAGGAAGGCGCCACGGACCGGGGCGGAGCGGTCGTGGGTCCCGGCGGCGCATGGAGGGGCCCGCCTGGCATCGCCACGGCGCTCCTTCTGGTGCTAGGGCAGGCCTTCCCGTTTTGCCGGGCATCCTAGTCTTCTGGTTTCTATTCTCAGCCTGTTCCTGCATCTTGATATGTGCATGGCTGCTCAGGCCCGCCTTCGTTTTTCCCTCTTTCTTGGTAGCTTTCTTAGTGCGTCTTCTCCTGCAGTTTATGGCTTTCGTTGTGGTGCGTCTGCTTTGGCCAGAGGGCAGAATAAGGCCCTGTTGGGTCTGCGAAGAGGGCGGGTGTGGGCCAGGGTCCCCAGTGTGCCGGAGGCCAGGTGGCGGAGGGCGGGAGTCCCCTGTCGGGCTCGGGGGGCTGCTTCGGCGAGGCGCGGCTTGCTCGGGGGACTCACGGCGCCCGCGCTGTTTCCACAGAGTGCCTCTCGGAAGACTGCCGCTCGGTGATTCAGGAGCAAGCCACGGCCCTGGGTCTCGCCATGTTCTCCATGCTGGTCAGGCGCTGCACGGCCCTGCTGCGGGAAGCCTCTCTGGGTAAGCGGGGATGGGGGCTGCCGCCAGGGGCTCTGCCCTCCCCACGCCGGGCTCAGGCTGCACGGCGGCCCCGGCACCCTCCGGACGCCAGCGGCCTCTTCCCAGCGGAGACGGCCCCTTCCTGGACAAGATGGCCCGGGAACACACCGCCTGCGCCAGAGTCTGTCTCCTCACGGGTGACGGTTCCTGCCCCCCTCCAAATTCTCTGGCAGGTGTTCTTCAAGTATCCCGAGAGGGCGAGGACTGGTGGAACAGGATCGCCTGTTATTCTCAGGCCCCGGAACAAAAATAGGAAATTGCTTTGGCGGAACCGTACAGAGAAGACGCTCTTCTCTGCCTGTGAGATCGCCCCACGAGGGGCTTGGTTCCTCCATGCCGGGCAGCTCAGTCCCGGGTGGATGGAGGGCATCCCTGGGCAAGGGGAGCTGCCCCCGCGTGCTGCCCCCGGGTGGCACCTTCCGTCCGAGGGAGCCTGCAGCTCATTCGCAGCGGCGTCCAGCCACTGGCACGGAGCAGGGCTCCTCAGCATGGCTGCTTCAGTGGGGACACGATCCCAAGCCCCAGTGGCTGCCCGACACTTGAGGGAACCGGGGCGGGCAGAGCAGGGTGGCCACCGGCTGCAGGGGAGGGTCTCTCCACTCTCGGGCTCAGCGCACCGGCCCCCAGCCGGCTCTGCATGCGTCCTGCCCTAGCCCAGCATTTCTTCCACGGCTGGCCGTGTCCCCCAGTCCTTCCAGTCACCTCGTTTTACCTGGGGACGCTGCCCTTTTGCCAGCGCCTTCGTGCTCCGAGCCACACAGCGCAGGCCCAAACCCAGCCAGAGGGCCGCTGGGGGAGCCGCGCTTTCTCAGCCGCCGGTAAAAATAGCCCCGTGGCTCCGCTGCCGGCTCGGGTTAGCGGCATTTTAAAATTAGCCCCTGCTGAGGGCTGCCCGAACCTCAGCCTGGGCGGAGCAGAGCAGAAGCTCGGCGCGGGGGGAGGCGGCCTGACCTGGGGACAAGGCCGAGTCCCCTGGCAGACCCGAGCGCTGAGCCGGCTTCCCGGCCCCCTCGCAGCGGGCGAGAAAGCGGCCCCCTCCCCAGGGGGAGCCTGGCACGCTGTCTCGCTCGGCCTGCCCTCCTCGAGCGGTGGGGGCTTTGCAGGGCCCTCCCCGTCGGCCGCTGACGGAGGCTCTGGCGGCGGGCCCTCTTGTCCTGTGGCCGGGTGATGCGGCCCGTCGGCCTGGTGCGCTTGCCCTTTGTCCCTCCGGGTGCAGGGGGGAGCAGCGAAGGCCCCCCCCCGGATCGCCTGGAGCGTGGTGGGGTCCGGGCCCCTTGGCGCGTCTGTGGCTGCGCCTGCCCGTTCGCCGGCAAGAGGGGGGGGTGCCGTGTGCGGCTCGTTGCTGGGTTTCGGGTTGTCGGAAAACCCCGTGTGGGTACGGCCCATTCCGCACTCACGATCCAGGACGCAAAGCCATGGGTGAGCGCCGGGTCGGGAGCGCCTGGCTGCTTGGATTTCGGAACCTGGCGTGAAACGGCCGTGCCTGGTTTGCACGCAACGACAGCCTGTGCCTCCGTGCCCAGGCACGCTCGCCCCGGCCTCCAGGCCTCCAGCGCTCCCACCCCCTCCAACCGGGACAGGGCCAAGGCCAGTCCGCGCTCCCAAGCCCTTGCCGTCACGGGGAGCCCCGGGAGCGAGTGGGGCTGCGCGGGGAAGGCCTCGCTCACGCTGACCTTTCCCCACCTTCCTTTCCCAGCAACCACTCAGGCCCAGGAGGGCGCGGAGGACGACGAGGGCATCAAGGTCTCCGCTTTGCCGCAGGACCTGAAGGAGCTCCTGCCCAGCATCAAGGTTTGGTCGGACTGGATGCTCGGCCACGCGGACACCTGGAACCCCCCGCCCAGCACCCTGGAGCTGCCCAGAGCGTAGGTCCGGGGCCGGGGGGGCACCCTTTCCCTCTCGCTCCCCCTGCCCCTTCTTTCTCCGCCCTGCACGGTCGCTTTCCAGGGAAACAAACAGGTTTGCGCGTGGAGTGGCAGAGCTGCCAGAGGGCGCCAGGTTGGGGGAGGCCGAGCCGCCCGTCATGTGGGGAGCTCAGAGGCTGAGCAGGCATCGGCCCTGTGCCTCGAGAAGGCGGCTGCCAGCAGTCTCGGCCTCCGCCAGGGTCGAGGCGCCCGGGGACCCAGGCGGTGGGTGCCACTCCGAGTTGGCCAGCAGGCAGGATGGCCCCTTGGCACCGCCTGCTTGCAGGGCTGCTCTGGGTCCTCGGGCCTGAGGATTCCCCTCTCCGAGCCCAGCTGCGGCCCCCGGTTGCCCTCTTCTCTCCAGCCGGCCGCGCCCCTCGCTCTTGGCTCGTCGGGGCACGCTGAGCACTCCCCGTACAGGATTGCCCAGCGCCTCTCGCCCCGTCCCCGGCTTCCCTGGGCCTCCCCTGCAGAGGTGCAGCCTGGACTCCGAGCCGGGTTTCTGGGAGGGGAGACGGCCCTGGGCGCCTCCTGCTCGCATCTGCTCTGGCTTGCTCCGCATCTCCTGGCGGAAGATGCCGAGGGGGCTCCGCCCAGGGAGCTCCCCCCTTGCCTGCCTCCTGCCCACCAGGCGCCCTGTCCCATCCTGCACCCACAGCGCTCCCCCCAGCCGCCCCAGGCCCATTGCATTAGTCCGGCGGAGCCCTCCGGGGAGCCGGGACGGCGCGCTCAGCCAGAGCAGCCTCCCGGCTCTCCGCCCGTCCCCGTCTCTTCCCCATTTGTTGCTGGCACTTTCTGCTGCTGCCGCTGCCGCGTCTTCGTCTTCGTCTTCGTCTTTGTCTTCTTCTTTTTTTTAATTCATTTTGGCTGAGGAAATGGAAATCTCACACAGGAAGTGCCGGGCCCCATTTTGGAGAGAGGGGGACAGGTCTGTTTTCTGTTTGCCGGCTGCGCGGGCTTGGCTGGCGGGCTGGGACTGGGGCCTGCTCGGGTGGACCGTTGCCCATCTTTGGGCAGAGCTCAGCCCCAGAGTGCACTCAAGAGCCCGCCACTTCCTGCCCGTCCCGTCCCAGCCCCCTTCCCAGCCGGTCCACGGAGCAGCGGCTCGGGGGGTGGGGGCCTGCTCCTTCCTCCCCCCACCCCCTAGGTGCCTGCAGCTTCCCTGCCCACAACCCGTGGCCGTGGGAGGCCTTGCAGGCTTTGCCTGGGACCGGTGTTCCCCGGGGCCGCTGCCTCGGTTTGTGGGGACGGAGGCGAAGAGGGCCCGGAGAACCCTGCCCGCTGCTTCTCACCCTCGCAGCATCCCTGCAAGGTAGGCCAGGCGTGGAGGCGCTGGCTGGCCCCAAGTCGCCAGGGGCGCTCGTGGCCGGTGGCGACTCACGTGTGGGGCCCCAGGGCCCCGGCCCAGTGCCCTGTCCACCTGGCCGTGCTGGCGGCCCGGCCACAGAGCCAGACCCCCGTCCTGGGCCCAGGTCAGGCAGTCGGCTTGCTTCCCCTGGAGGCCCCGGGCCCCGGCCTGCCGCTCCCCAGTGTCCTGCAAGGATGGAGAGGCCCGGGCCCCCACCAGCTCTGGGGCAGCCAGGGGGCAGGCTCCGCAGGCTCCTTGCTTCCCGGCGCAGGTGGGCAAGCGCCAGCACAGGGGGCCCAGTCCTTGGCCCCAGGATGCATTTCTGGAGCTCGGGCCCTGTGTGGGTCTGCCAGCCAAGGCAGGCCTTGGCTGCGGGCAGAGGGGCACGTGTCCCTCAGCTCTGGGGGGCTGCACAGGCCCTCTGGTTCCCCCCGGGCAAGGCAGAGGAAGCAGCCCTCCCTGCCCTGTCTTCAGCTGAATGATGATGCCATGGGGGGGGGGGAAGGACAGCACCCCGAGCAGAGTTCTGAGGTAGCACTGTGAGAGCCCCCCCAGCTGCCGCCCCACCGCCAACCCCCCCGGTGCCCCCCCAGGCCCTGGCTTGGCACCCCACTTCCCCTTCCACCGGTTCCCAGGGAACCCGCTCAGGCCCCGACGCCGAGGCCGGCTAAACTCGGCCCAGCTGTGGCAGCGGGTTTATTGCTTTCAGCTGGTACTTGAACCCGGGTCTCTGGCTTTGGAGCTGTTCCCAGGCTTAATCCCCGGAGCTTTCTCTGCAGCTGTATGACACTCTGCTGACCCTGAATGAGGATAGGAAAATAGAACGGGTGCCAAGCCAGCGTCTCTTTTTCATTTGGAGTCTGGCAGCCTGCCCATGACCAGGGTTACATAATGGGAAACAGCGCGGGCTCTGGAGAGCCCTGCGCACTTCGCCAGGCGGCCGGGGCCCTGCGCGCTCCGAGGCCATATATCTTCCTAATTGGCGCTCGGACGCATTTATCACCCGCCTGGATTTCGGAGCCCTCCTCCTCGTGGAAAGGGGGCTGCATTCCACTCCTCCCATGGCTCTCCTGTTGGACGCGCAGGGCGGGGGGAGAGGAAGGATGTGGCATGGCTTGCGCACCAGGTGCGGGGGGCCGGGGGTGGCAGGCATCGCGGGGGCCGCGGGAGGAAGCCTGCCTCGGAGGGCCGGCCGGCCGGCCACGTGCACAGGGCTGCCCCTCCCCTTCCGAAAGATGCCCTTTGGGCCCCACGGTGCCGGCAGCGGTGGCTGGCGTGCCCCTCCAGCGTGGCCAGTCAGGGCCGTGCACGGCCGCACCACGGCCCGAAGGTGCTCCCTCTGGGACCAGGCTTGCGCTCCCGAGCGGCTTCCCGCTGGAGACCTCCGGGGGCGGGGGGCCCGCCACCTCCCTGCGCGGGCCGGTCTGTGCCCTGGCCGCGAGGCGGCTTTTCCAGGTGTTGGGGCGAGATCTGCCCCCCGAAGCATCAGCCCCTTAGTTCCTGTCCGACGGCCGGGACAGAGACGAGCCCGCAGACCCCCCGTGCGCCGCCTTTCGGGCCGGGACTCACGACGGGCTCCCGGTGCCCCGCAGCTGCTCTTCCCCAGGCCGGGCTGCCCCTCTCCTGGCTCCTCCCGGCCTCATGAAGCCCCTCAAAGGGAGCCGTGCTTGGGGCAGTCCAGGTCAGAGGGCAACTGGCCTGTCCTGTCGGTCCCGTGGCCGCTCCCCAGTCCAGGGTGCGCTCCGGGCACAGGGTGGCCCTCCGGGAGGGGGGCCGGGGCAAGGGGCTGCGGGAGGGGGTGGGGAGGGGGAGGCCGGGCCGCCCGGCTCGGCTTCCCTCCCCCCCTCCTCCCTCCCCCTCCCTCCCAGCCCGGCGAGCGAGAGAAAAAGGCCCGAGCGGTTTGCCATCTGGAACGCCGCGCTGGCTGCCTCCACCACACGCTTTCCGGGTTTGCGCTGCAGCTGTGGGCCTGGTGCATGAGTGTTTAAACAGGCTGGTATTGCACAGGAAGCGGCCACCTCCGTGGGGCCCCTGAGCCGCCGAACACGGGGCCGTTGTCTTCAGCCTCGCGTGCCGCCTGCACGGGCAGGCCTGGGGGCGCGGGGTCCCGTCCCGTGCACCACCCGGGCCTGGCGCCCCTCCCACCGGCCCTCCCAGCAGCCCCTCTTCCTCTTCCTCTTCCTCTCGCTCGGCAGGCTTTGCCCCAAAAGGGCACTGCCCCAGCCCTCCGCCTCACCTGCCCCGGCCCCCTCCCTGCCCTTCGCCTGGCATTCCAGATGGGGTGGCTGGCTGCGCAGGGCGTGTGTGCTGGGAAGTGGGGGGCACGGCCCCCTCTCCAGGGGGCTCTGCAGCTGAGGAGGGGGCGCCTGCAGCCGGCCCGCGCCCCCTGTGGGGCAGGGGCAGCAGGGGGCCACTCCCCCCTCCCCCGGAGGGCAGGCCCCTCGTCCGGAGGAGGGGGCCACGCGCCCCTCCACGCCTCCCCCTGCAGCACCCAGGCCCTGTTATGTCCCACCCCGGCTGCCCGGGGGCTGCGGGTGCAGCGAGCTGGTCCCCCGCCCGGCTGGTCCCCCGGCCACCCTGTCGCCTGGGCGCTGGTCTCCGGCCCGGTCCGGCCTGAAGGAGGCGCTCAGGGCCGGGGGGTTGCACCTCTCCGAATTTTCGCCTGGCGCAGATGGGGGCGGGGGGGCTGGAGCGCTCAGTCTCTTTTAACCCTTGCAGCTCTGCGTCTTTTCAAGGTGGCCGAGCACGTCGCGCTTCCCATTACATCACGGGGGACCCTCGGAGAGTGGCCTCCCCCCCCCCCCCCGCCCGGCACGCCTGGGTCTGTTTGTGTGCTTTTTCCCACCTCTAAATGCTTCTGACAGCCAGGCCTGGCCTGGGCACGGGGGGAGCGGCCGCCCGACACTCTGGGGGCACGCTGGCCCAGGGCCCCGGGGGCCCCCCGGCTCCCCCCCTTGACCTGAGGGTGCAGGCGCGCTGCTGGTGTGCCGGGCTTTGATTAATGGCAGCTCGTTCGGCCGGTTCCCAGGACACTCTTGAAAACAAGATGTTTCGTTTCAGCGCCGTGCTTCCCCCTTCCTCCCCCCATCCTGCCTGCCCCCCCACACCATCCTGCACGTTGATTTCAGCAAATAAATGAGTGCAGGAGCGTCCACCTGGAGCAGCTAGTTTGTCTGTGAGCGGGAGGGAGGGAGGGAGAAAGTTCGGGGCAGGGGCTTGCCGAGGAGCCCCCCCCAGCTTCCTCCCTGCCTGTGGGGGGGCTGGCCCGGGCAAGAGTCGCGCCCTCTCCGCTTTCTCTCTTCCTGCCCTGGGCCGCGTGCCAGTGGGGCACCCACGCCGGAGCGTGCCCCCCACAGCTCGGCGGATCTGCGCCCCGGGCCGGGCCGGGCCAGCCGCGGGGCATGCAGTGCGTGCCGGAGCGCCGCCCGGATCCTCCGGGCATGTGCCTCCCTGCTGCCGGGCTGGCGCGGCTGTGCCGGGGCACGCGAGCCCATCCTGCCCCCCCGCCTCGCGCGCCCCAGAGCTCCCCCGCCGCCCCCCCCCGGCTTCTGAGGTTTCCTCGCGCCCGGCCCGGAAGGCGCCGCAGCCACTCTTGCTCGCAAACCGGCACTCTCTTTTCGCACTCTCTGCCGTGTGAACCCGAAGGTGGTGCCGCGTCCCTGCCGCCAGCTCGCCCCTCCCTGAGGGGCCGCGGCGTGTGGGGCTGCGGCCAGAAGCGAAACTGAGCCAGTTACTTTGCCTTCCCCACGGCGAGCTGAAACGGACCAGGCAGGAGCAGTGCTCCTCAGGGCAGCCTTCTGGGCATGCCCAGAGGCTCAGGCCCAGAATCCCTGGCCATGGCCCGTAGTCCCCCCCTGCATGGCGCATGGGAAGCCGGGGCCTGAAGCCGGCCCGCGAGTCCTTCGCCCCTCCAAGGCTGCTTCAGCCCACTGCCTCTTCCCACCGCCGCCCCTCACCATTGGCTGTGCTGATGGGAGCTGTAGTCCAGAACGGTGGAGGAGCCAGTGATGGCCCAGCCCCACTGAAGCCATTGCTGCTTCCCACCAGCCGCACACCGCTTTTGGTCACTGTGTCACATGCCCTTGCTCCGTAGAAGTGTGAATATATGCGTATTTTAAAGTTCAGGTTTTGAAACGCACAGAGCACATCCTCGCGCTTCCTAAGCAAGACCAGTGTCCCTTCCTTAAGCTAAGGGGAAACGAGGCACACGCACGATCCCCATATTTTTCCCCAAGGCAATGAGGGCTAGAAACTTGGGCTTGTAATGCAGCTAGTTCTGAGTACTATGCACCTACCCACACATTAACGCTGAAGTTCTCAGGGCAGGGATTTCTGGAACTGGCAAGCGGTCTCGGCCAGGATGCCAAGTCGCCAGCCAAGCCAGCCGCAGACTACCCTGGGCTGGTGGAAGGGCATCTCTGCAGCAGAGATGGGGGGGGGACAGGGGGGCGGTGCTGCTATGCCCCCCCCCTTTCTGAACCTCGAGCAGAAGCTGCCTTGGTGTTCCTCGGGCCGCCACGCCGCGTTCTCGAGCGCTCCGGCGAGGCTGTTGCAGCGAGCGGCCGGTCGCTACCTGCGGAGAGGGCCCCTCGGCCCCGGTCGGCAGGAGGGCAGCCGTGTGGCCCCCCGGCCTTGCTGGGGCAGGGGGCGCCCCGTGCGGAGGGCCCGGCCGCGCTCAGCTCTGTCCCCCCCGTGCCCCCGCAGGGTCTCCGTGGACGTGTGGGCGACGCTGGCCGACTTCTGCAACATCCTGACGGCCGTGAACCAGTCCGAGGTGCCGCTCTACAAGGACCCCGACGAGGACCTGTGCCTGCTCAGCCTGGAGGAGGACCGGCTGCTCTCGGGCTTCGTCCCGCTGCTCGTCGCCCCGCAGGAGCCCTGCTACGTGGAGAAGTCCTCGGACAAGGTCAGGGCCGGGGCACGGCGCCCCCCACCCCGCCCTCCCCTCCGGGCTTTTCTTCTTGGGAAGCATTTCTGTACAAGCGGAACACGATTAAGTCATTGAGAAAGGGTGTTAAGGGAAAATGTCGACCTTTTAGCCGCTGACATCCAGCTCTGTGTCATGAAACCCCCTCTTGACTTCCTTTTGCTCTGTGTGTGTGTGAGAGCGCGAGCAAGCGAGCAAGCAAGCGAGGGAGGGGGCGGGAGCGCTCGCTGGCATGCCGCGGTGCCGGTCATTTCCTCCCTCCTTTACAGAGCGCAGCTTGCGCTGGCAGCGCTTCCCCGGCTCCAAATGGCTTGCATCATGCGCGGGGCGGCCTCCTCCCCGGCCCCCTCCCCGCTGCCCGCCCCGGCGGGCTGGCTGGCCAGCCGGCCGGCCGCTGAGCCCTGCGTGAGGAGGCAGCCAGCCAGTGCGGTCCCTCGTCCCGTGAAGAGCGGCTGCGGAGGAGGCCGGCCGGCCGGCCGACCCTGCCTGCCGGAGAGCCGGGGGCTGCTTCCCGTGCCCCTCGCCGGCTGGGCGGGAGCAGCTCTGCCCACCCAGCCCGTGCCAGCGCTGCCATGCCGGGCCGGCTCTTTGCCAGCCCAAGGCCCCGGGGTTGGCCTTGGCCGCCAGCGGCTTGAGGGGCCCTCCCTGTGCCAGGGTAGCAGCTGCCGGGCCGGGCGGCTTCGCTCGCGTCTCGCGGCAGAGGCCTGCCGGTCTCCTGCACCACGGAGTTTTCCTCCCCACAAGGCTGGAATGGGTGGCCGAACCTGAAGCTGGAGGGGCCCAGGGTCCCCAGACCGCTGCTCTTGCAACCACCTGCCACCTTGGGAGGCCCCCAAGATCTGTGCGGTTTCTCCCCGTTCGGCAGCTCGACACGCCCTGCCCCGCCCCCCCGAGACAGAGCACCTGGCCTCCTGAGCCGCACCTGGGCGCCAGCTTGGCCCGTGCGCCCCGGTGTGCCCCCGAAATGGAATCCCCCCTCGTGCGGCAGATGGCTCCACCCCACCTCAGTGGCGAGGCGGCTGGGCAAGAGCGCGAGGGCAGAGCAGGTCCCGGGCGGCGGAAGGCGGAGGCCTGCCGCTCGCGCCGCTTTGTGCCAGGCCGAGGCGGCCTCCATCTGTTTGTCCGTCCCTCCGTCCGTCCGTCCGGCTCCGCCTGGCCGCCTGTCATGGTGCCTCTCGTGCTGCGTCGGCTGCAGCCGTCGCTTTCCAGGCGCACCCTGAGACTCGCCCGCTCACGTGCTGCCCGATGCGTTTTACTGGGCGGGCAGCAGTCGAGCCGCGGTCCTTCCGCGTGCAGAGTGCCCACTTGCGGGTCGCCCGCGCCTGGCCCTGTTTGGATGGGGGTCCCAGAGGTGGACCGGGCACCTTCTGCGTGGGAGCCGGGGGCTCTGCCCTGCCCCCTTCTGAACCCGGGGGCGTGCGCGTCCTCGGCGTGGCTGGCACACTGGCCCCGCTCTCGTCCCCCTCGAGTGCCGCCCAGAAGGGCTCTGCGACCCGAGGGGGACGAAAAGTCCCAGGCGGGGCGGAGGGACCTGGGATCCCCAATCCGTGTGGGGCAAGGAGCGGCTGGGGCAGAGAGACAAAGGAGAGGCACCCCGGAGGAAGAAAGAGGGACTGCGGGGCGACTTGTGCGGAGCGAGGGCCGGGGAGGGGGGGGCGAACCGAGCCATAAATCTGGGGCAAGGAATCCGGGGGGGATGGCTCCCACCTGGCAGGCTGTGCCGCGGCTGCTGCGGGTTTCGGGGGCGCTGTGGCTTGCAGAGAGCAAGCGCGGCTGTCGAGCTGCGTAATTGATGTCCGCCGGAGCTGGGGCCGTGCCAGCTTGTCTTGGCCGGGCGCCAGCGTTCTGTAATGCCGGAGCCAGGTGTGAAGCAATGTCTGTTCCGTCTTGTTCCCAAGCACCTACAGAAGCCTCGTGCGTCCCACCGGGGGCTGCCGCCTCCAGGAAGGAAGCAGCTGTGCAGGTAGCTGGGGAGAAGACGCGGCCCGGCAGAGCTGGGGCCGGGGGGGGGGCCGTCCTGTGCCGTCGCCCTGCATTCAGGTGTGGTGGCACGGGGGGGGCAGGACGCCAGGGTGTGCCGAGGGGCCGGGCACCTGTGACGGGCCCAGGCGAGCGCGAGGGGCACTGTGCCCATCCTGCACCCCCCCCCCCGGAGACCCAGCCTTCCCCGCAGGCGACCAGCTGGTGTCACTGGCTCCGGCTGGGGAGCTCTGCGGGCTCTCGGCCTGGGGAGAGCCTTCTGCCCACCCCCACCCCCCGCCCAGCCTCTGGTCCGTCTCCACCGGAGCCAGTGCCGCGGAGGGGAGCGGGGCCTTCTGTGGGCCAAGCGGGGCCCTGCCGCAGGCCCGGAGCTGGACGGAGTACTTGCTTCCCGGGCACCCCCACCTGTGGGGATGCCCCCGGCCAGTCCCGCACCTGAAGTGCACCCAGCGCGGACGCCTCGCCCCGCTCCGCACGGGCGCCCGGCCTGCGCTCTCGGCTGGTGGCCACACGCTCCCGAACTGCTCATTCCCGGGGCAGCGGTGTCTTTTGCCCTCAGGACTGCCTGGGGATGCAGGGGACCGAAACAGGTGTGTGTCTTCCTGAGTGCCGCACGCGAGATGCTCGGAGAGCCCCCGCCACCCACCCGCCTCTCCTCTGCCGGGGAGGAAGGGGCACCCTCCTGCCCAGGGGCGGGCTTGCTCCCGGGTGACCTTGTGCCGCAGCTTCCCCGGCGCAGGACTGCGCCGCAGCCCCACATGCCCCCGGCCAGGGCCTTCTAGAGGCCTGCTGCCGTGGGGGGTAGCCCGTCAGGCCTCCCGCTTGTGCCAGGACCCGTCCCCCCCGCCTGTGGGCGGATGAGGGTCTCCCTCCGCATGTTTCCTGGCGGCCTGGAAAATTCATCAGGGAGCCCTGGCGCGCTTGATGAGGTGGCGAAGCGGGCCTGCGGGGCGGGGAAGGGGGCCTGCCGAGCAGGGGAAGGATTAGCGGCTGGGAGCAGATCTTCGGGCTGAGCAGGTCTCACCTTTCCTCCGGTCCTCTGTGTGGCTGCGCGTGGGACTGTCAGGCGAGTGGCCGGCCCCCCCTGGCCCCCCCAGCCGCTCCTCACGGCCTGCTCTGCCTTCTCCCCGAGGAGGCATCGCTCGGCCCGGCGGGGCAGGGAACCCTCGGCCGTGGGCAAGGCAGGGGGCAGGCCGCGGAGAGTGGCAGGCGGGTGGGGAAGGGGCCTCTCCCCCTCCTGCAGCCGGCCGGGCAGAGCACAGGCCGGGCTGGCCGCTTCCTTTCCCGAAGCCCCCCCCCCCCACCCATGCTGCTCCGGCTGGGAAAGGGGAGGCGAGCGACCAGGCAGGCCTTTCTGCCCCGGAATGCCTGCTCGGAGGACGGGGAAGGCCGCTTGGCCGGCGCGTCGGTCGGAGGACTGTCCGGCAGCCCCTTCGTGTGGGAACGAGTCCCTGCCGGGAGAGCTGCGGAGCCTCGCGGCCTCGGAGCGCGGAGCGGGCCCTCCTGCACGGGGGCCTGGGTGGGCATGGAGGGATGGCGCAGCCCCTTCCTGGCACCCAGGTGACCGCGGGCTCGTGCCCTGGCCAGACGGACCAGGCCTGGCCGAGCCCCCGGACGGCTGACCGGAGTCCGCGGCCCCGGGGGTCCCTGCTCCAGTCGCCCAGCCAGCCCCCCGGTGCCGTCCCGCACAGGGCATGTTGCCCTTCTCCCCTGGCGGGGGGTTGAGGGGCGCTGAGCAGCCCCAGCCACACCTGCCCGTCTCGCTCCTGCCACCAGCTCTCTGCCCCCCCCCGCTCTCTGCACCCCCCCCGCCGCCCGCTTGCTCCAGAGCGAAGCGCCCGGCAGCCCCTTTGAAGGCCGCGTCTGGGGAGGGCCTGGCAGCCCGCCCGGTGTCATCACTTGCGCGGTGCCTGCCATCGGGGTGGGGGGAGCGCCCAGGGCATTGGCACCGTTTCAGACGAGCCAGCCATGACCCAGAGCTCCCCACTTGGAGTGGGGAATGAGATTGCTTCATCCGCTTGACAGCTCGCTCTGCAGAACGAAATTTATCTCCCCTTAATTGCCTTGGATCCCGAGAGGGTGCCTGTGGTAATTCCGAGGGGATAATTACATCAAAATACAAAAATGTGCAGCGCAGAGCGCCGAGGGCCGAGCGTGGGGGGCGTGGCCACCAGCACCCCCCGGGAGAGCCTTTTGGACCGCAAGGTGGGGTGGTCCCCGCTTGCGTGTGAGCAGGTGAGCGCTGGGTGCAGCTGCCTGCTGGAAGGGGGAGGGGGGCCGGAGCTGCCCCCCCCAGCCTTCCCGGTGCCTTCCAGAGGGGTCAGGCGGGTCCCTGAGCTGGGAACAGCACCTCTTCGGGGGGCCCCACTCCCCATCCTGCCCGGGAGCTCTGCCCACGCCTCTAGAGCACCCCCTCGCCCTCCCCTCCTACCTCCTCCATCACCCCAGAAGAGGCAGATGGGGCCCGGCTGCCCCCAGCTCTGCTTCGGGCCTGGCAGCACTTCAGGCACCTGCTGGGGCTTACAGGTGGTCCCGGGGACCTGGAGAGACGTGTCTTGCGAGCCCCTGGTTTTCGCCCGAGTTGATTGCAGGGCGGCTGGGGGCCCTTGCCCTCCCCGCTTGGCCTGGGGGGGGCAGCAGAAGAGATGGGGAATCTGCCCCCCATGCTGCACACGGAGCAGGCTGCCCTTGGCCAGAAAGGCCCAGGCAAGGAAGGGCCCCTCCTGGGCCCGTCTCTTACAAAGGATTCTTAAATCGCAGTGTATATCACGGAACATTTTCCAAAATCTAGCCCAACAGTTAGTTTGTATGGGGGGGGGGTTCAGTTTTCTCTTGATGTAAAAACAGAAAGAGAGCGGCCTTAGGAAATGCAAGTGCCGGGGCGGGGGGCGAGGCCCGTGTTGCACTGCAGTGCCCATTATCACCCAGCCAGGGGTCCCAAACTAGCGAAAGGCACCAGGATGGGAGGGAGACCCCGGGACCCCCCGGCCCAGGCAGCAAAAGTCCCTCTGCCCCCCCGCGGAAGCCCGTAACAGCAGCAAGGCAATCTGGGGGCCGGGGGCTCGTCCAGGCCCCCCCCCCCCGTTCCCAGCCATCCCAGTCACGTCGCACGCTTGCGCTGCCCGCCCGCCCGCCCCTCTCCGCGGCTGGGTACCGACGGCAAAAGGGCCGCCCATGTGCATTGGAGAGCCTGAGCCCCCCTGAGCCCCCCGTGCAGCCGCAGCGCCACCCCCACGATGCCGCGGGCTCCCTGGGCCAGCCCTCCGTGCTGGGCGCATGAGGCGCATTCTGCTGGGGGAAGCGCGCCTTCCCGGCCGCACTCTCCAGCTTTTCTCTGCGCAGAAGGACCCCAGCTGTGCCGCCTCCGCCCGCCCGCCCGCCCGCCAGCGGGACCCTGGATGCGGAGGCCCCCTGGGCCCTGGCGTGCCTCTCCACTGAGCTGAGCTGAGCTGAGCTGAGCTGAGCTGAGCAGAGCAGAGCAGAAGGCGGGCCGGCGCAGGCGTGTGGAATGCAGCGCTGGGTGCTGCTCACACGCCCCGGGTGCTCCCCCGGCTCCCCCCACCTCGTGCAGGGCAAGGAGCGCCTCGGCGGGGAGGGGAGGGGAGGGGAGCCAGCAACCCGGTCGCCTCAGGTTGCCTGCCGGGGGCCCCAAACCCCTCCACATTCCACAGTGAAAGCGCAGGGCAAGCCTCCCCTTCTTGGGCGCTTTGGGTCCCTGAAACCCTCCTGCCCCAGGTATGGGGTCAGACTAGATGGCCCCTGGGCTGCTTCCCTGGTGCGTGTCGAGGAGCAGAGGGCACAGGGAGACCTGCAGGGAGAGCTCCCCCGGCTTCTCCTGCACTTGGGTGTCTTGGGGGGCAGTTTCGGAAGTTTCGGAAGTTCCGGATGCATCCGTGGGGCAAAAGAGCTGGGGTTGGCCCGTAGCACCCCTGCCCTGGTGCGCCAGCTTGGGCTGCCCCATGTGGCCCCTGCCCGGAGGCGTGCCAGCCCTCGGCCCCGGCCTGCTTCCTCGGCTCGCGTGCAGTTCCTTACTTGTCGAGAGGGAGGGCAAAGGGGCAGGCAGGTGGGGCAGGAACGGGGGCCAAACCCGGCAGGTACCCTGTGCTCCTTGCCGGCCGAGCGGCGGGGATGCAGCTGGCAGGAGACGGGGGAAATTTGCAGGGAAGACAATGCTTGGAAAAACTTTGCTGGCACCCGACCTTCCCGGGGAGGCAGAAGCCTCCTCTGGAGTGATCCCGGCTGGCCACGGGCAGCGGAATAAAATACGCCCAGGCTGCAGCTGGCCAGCTGGGGGCCCCCCCAGCCCCCCCCCCCCCGCCCAGCACTTTGGAAATGCTGAGCAAACGGCGCGACCCCCAAGATGGGGGGGGGGGGGGGGGGGGGGGGGCGCAGGCCCACTCGGCTGCGGTCTTCGCGGATTTCAGGGGCCTGCGGAGCGCCGAGCTGCAGCTTCCTGCGAAGCGGGATGGCCCTTCTGAGCCAGAGGGATCCCATCAACCTCTCCTTGAACTCCCGGCGCTCGGCCGCTCCCCACTTCTTCCGCGCCTCACCCACCTGCCCCCCGCCCCCCAGCACACGCATGCACGCCGCCGCCGCCGCCGCCTCTCCGGGCTCCTTGGAAGCGGCCTGTGCCGACTCCGCCAGCGCTGGTAATGTCTGGCCCGCGGCGTGGCCAAGCACTAGCTCATGCTGAGCACTCGCGGGCGGGGGCAGCGCAGCTGGGGCGCGGGGAGGGACGGATCCGGGCCTCCGGCCGCACCCGGCCCTGCTCCTGCTCCTGCTCAGGGTGCGGGCCGCGGGGCGGGCCTGGGGCGAGCGCCAGGGTGCCCCGCGAGGGAGGGAGGTCCTTTTGCCCCGATTAGGAAATGCCACTGGCCCCGGCTGCAGCGGCAGCCGGAGCCTCTCCGCACTCCGCCTGGAAGCGAAGGCGCCCGCCCGGCCTGCCTGCCTCTCCTCCTGCAGAGGCCCGGATTGCCTGCTCGCCCGCCATCGCCGTCGCCTTCTGCTGAGGCTGCCTGCCCTCCTCCGGAGCCGGCCTGGGGCCTGCAGGACTCCCTCCACCTGCCTCTGGGCAGGCCCCGGCTCGCGGGCGCGGGAGTATGTGGCCGGCCCTTGAGGGCAGCGATGCGACCACAGGCGAGGGGCCCCGCTCGCCTGCCCAAGCTGCCGCAGTTTGGCGCTCCCCTTCCGGCACCAGCCCGGCACCGGGTGCAGAGGCCGTAGGCTCTGCTGCTCATCCGAAGGCCTGGCAGGCCGCCGGCCCCCTGCCCAGGCCAGTCCCCGGTGTGCCCTGGCCCCGTGTTTGGCCGCCCTGTGGAGCCCCCCGGGGAGCGAGGCCGGGCCCACCCCCGGGCATCTCCTGGGCCGGCATCGCTGCACCGCGCAGCACGGAAGCGTCCCTGGCGAGGGGGGAGGGCGCCTGCGTGCTGAGCCCCGCTGTCGCAGTCACTGCGGTGGGCCGGGCGTCCCCCGCTGCTCGGCAGAGCCGGGGAGTCCTGGCGGCAGCTGGTGGGCCATGCTGCCCCGCCGGGCCGGGCCCTGCTCCGCACGGGGCATCCAGGGAAGCCGGGCCCCTCCGAGCTGCATGAGCAGCTTCTCGCAGCGTCGCAGCGGCCTGGGACGCGGGAGCCCCGCGCCACGAAGCTCCCCGGTGACGGTGGGCCAGCGGCTGGCCACGCAGGCCGCCTCGCTGTCCCTGCGTGGGGGCAGCAGGGGGGCGTGGTGGCGAGAGCCACGTTCGGCGTGGTGTGGCGAGCCAGGGGGCCGGCCGGAGGACCCCGTCGTGTCCAGCAGAGCCACGTGGCGGGCTGGGGCATCCGAGAGCCGTCCCCCGCGTGACCCGGGAGCGGTGGCGGAGGCGTCCAAACCCCTCTTCCCCCACAGGCCAGGCCCGTCAGGGCCCCCTGCGGACACAGGCACCCCAACCAGCCGGGGCACGGCTGAGATGTCCTGGGTCGCCCGGCTCCCTGCCGGAGCCCCCTGGACCTTCCGGGCTCCCAGGCCGCGCACCCGCGTGCCTGCCAGCCCTCCTCCGCCACGTCCCGCCAGGCCTGGGGCTCAGCGGCCACCGCAGAGCCAGCCGCAGGTCCCAGGACCCGGCACGCCCTGCGGGCACCCTGGCAAGAGCCCCTGACCGCGCTCCCCCTTTCCCCTCCACGGCCGGCTCCCCTCTCTGCCCAGCCAAGGGCAGGATTGGGCAGCAGCAGCCCGGAGGCCACGGCCGCCACGCTCCGGGCATCCTGCCTGCCGGGAGGGCCAGCGGCGGCCAGCATGGAGAGGAGTGAGCGCAGCGGGTGGCGGGCAGAGGGGAGCCGGGCGGGCTTCCCGGGACACCCTCCCACGCCGGAGCCCGCCCGGCTGCTCTCCCGGGCGCGGTGCCAGCGCTGCCAGGAGTGGCGTCCGAGGATTGCGGGAAGGGCCGTGAGGCCGCTGGGGCGGCGCCTCCTGGCCGGGCTGGAGCGCGTCAGGCGGAAGAGGAGCCCGGGCGGCCCTCAGTGGCCGCCCTCCGTGTCCCGGCCCCAGCTGGGCCGTCCGGGGGGAGTGTGCTCAGAAGTGCCCTCCGTCTGCAGGTATCCAGGTGGGGGCGGCTGAAGCGGGCTCTCGGGCTCGGGGGGAAGCGTGGCTGCACAGTGGCCCCGGGGTGTGCTGCCAGGCCCCGCTCCGGGAAGGCTCCCCGCGGCTGATCCAGGGCTGGCAGGTGCCCCTGGGGAGGAGTGGCCACGGAGCAGCCGGAGAACCGGCAGCCGGGCACCTTCCGCAGCTCTCTGCCCGCCCGTTGCCTCTCACTTGCCTCTGGGGTGAGGTCAGCCGCGGGTGGGGTTAACGAGGCCCACAGAGCAGGCTTAGGGGGTGCAACCCACATGCCCTGCACCTGAGTGCTCTTCCGCCCAGGGAAACACTCCGCTTTTAAGTCGGAGCAAGTGGCACACCTGCCCCCCCCCCCGTCGAGGGTGACAGGGGCCTGGGGGGGGGAGCCGAGGGCTGCCCCATCATCCCTGCCCCTCCGGCTGCTGCCCCTCGCCTTGCGCCTGCCCGCAGTGGGGGGGCTCCCCGTAGTCCAGCTGGCCACCACCCAGGTGCCCGACTCGGCCCAGCCAGCCTGCTGGGAGGGTGCCGGGCAAGGGCGCCGGAGCGCTCCCGCTCGGGGGCCCCCGGAGAGCCCTCCGCACTTTCCCACACCGCCCGTGCCGTTCACCCACCCCTCTCCCTTCCCCTCCCCTCCCTGCCCTCCCGCCCCGCCCAGGCTATCGCAGCGGACTGCAAGAGGGTCACAGTGCTGAAGTATTTCCTGGAAGCCCTTTGTGGCCAAGAGGAGCCATTGCTGGCATTCAAGGGTGGAAAGTATGTCTCCGTGGCCCCCGTCCCAGACGCCATGGGAAAGGAAGCCTCCGGCCAAGAGGGGAAGAAGCTGGAAGATCAGGTACCGGGCGGAAGGGGGCCGGGGCAGGAGGAGCAGTTGCCCCAGCGGGCCCGTGCTCCCCGGCTATTTATAGCCGGTGAGGACGGGGGGCGGGGGGCGGCCTCTCGCGGGTGCGCTCGTGCCCCTTCCTGCCAGTCCCACCCGAGAGGGAGCTGCTCGGCCTGGCAATGAGTTCCAGATGCGCCGCGCAGCCCCGGCTCGGGCGGCCGGGGAGGGGGCACCGCTTGAATCGGCCCGGCAGGAAAGGGGTGGCGGAGTGGGAGGGCCGAGTGTGCTGCGGGGAGTGGGTTAGGGTTCAGGCTCGGGATGGAGCTGGCTTGGGGGGGCGGCCTCGCACAGCAGCCCTCGGCACAGCACAGGAAGAGGGGCGGGGGCTGGCGCTTGGCCCCCACCCCCCTGCCCGCCCTCCCTGCCTCGCTCCCGCCCTCCCTCGCTGCTCTCACATCCTGATGTGATTAAGGAATTTCTCTGCTTGTTTTTCTGCCCCGGCTTGTTCCTGTAGCCCGGGGTTCTCCGCAGGCCGTGGGGGGGGGGTGTTCAACGGCCCTGCCAGCCGCCCCGCGAGGCCCTGCCTGTCTTGCAGGAGGCCCGGCTCCAGGGCCGCTGTGCGGGCAGCACGGGACGGCGCGTCCTCCGCCCTGGATTGCGGCTCCCGTCATTCCTTGGCGGGGCATTCAGTGCAAGGGGAAGGGGCCCGCGAGTCATGGGCCCCCCTCCCAGGCAGCCAGGGGGCTCAGCCTCCCGGTGTGCTTTGGTGCTGCCCACCAGCCAGCCCTCGTGAGGCCGTTTCGAAAGACTACAACACCCATTCCAGGCGGGCAGAGGCGGCATCGGGAGCTAGGGCAGTACCCCGAGAGGCACTCCGGGAGCAGAGGGGAGTCCTGGCTTGGCGCTGGAGCCGTGTGTGTGCTGGCACCAGGCGGGCCACCTCGGGGGGAGGGGGCCGCCGCCGAGAAGGCCCTGTCCTTGCTGCTGCCCTTCGCGCCGCTCTCAGAGGAGGCACCTGGTTGAGGGGCCAGGGTGTGCCAGCCTCCCCTGCCGGCCATTTGGGAGTGCGTGGCATGTCCCAGCACGCACTGTGCCCAGCGCAGGCCCACGCACTCACAGTCCCGGCAGCTGAAAGCGCGCAGAGGCGCTCGCACGTGGCGTGGCGTGGCATCCGTCCACAGGTGCTGGGCTTCCAAGGCGCTTGTCTCGCTTGCCTGCACCCAGGAGGATGACATCCGGATCGAGGCCTTCGAGGACGACTCGGAGGCTGACGGGAGCGGCGGGGAGCTGGACATCCGGGAGCTGCGGGCCAAGAAGCAGGCGCTGACCCGGAAGGTGGCCGAGCAACAGCGGCGCCAGGACAAGATCCAGGTGCGGCCAGGCCGGGGCGCGCTCCCAGGGGCCCGATGCCATCCCGGGAAGGGCCGGGCTCCCTCCCTGCGGGGCGAGTGGGCGGCCAGGTGCAGAGGGGCCGGGCCGGGATGCCACCCCGGTCTGCTCTGTCTTCGCGGAGCAATGCCTGCCAGGAATCCCGACGCACCCGCAGGCACCGGCGGAGCCGAACCGGGAGAAGCCGAGTCCCCAGGCTCGCTGGCCGTATTCCCCCGCCTTTCTTGCAAGGCCGTGGCCTCGGGGACATGCTAGCCGCCCCCCCCCCCACAAGAGCACCCCAGAGCAGGTCGGGGCAGCTGTCTGCCAGGCAGCAGGGAAATTCCCCCCCCCCCGCCCTGGGGTGGCCAGGCCCCCCGCCATAACTCTTCCCTTCCCAGCCTTGAACGCCGGCCAGACACATCTGTCTAGCCCCATGCGTGAACTGCGGAGTCTGTGCGAGGCGGTTGTAAAACAGGGCCGCGGAAGGCCCTCCCCGGGGGGTTGCGCACATGTGTGCCCGCCAGCGCTTGGCTGCAGGCCCGGAGCCACCGCTCTCGGCGCTCCTCCGGCCCCCCACGGCCCGCCCGGAGGAAGGGGCAGGGGCTGCCGTGCGTGCGTGCGCTCGGGCGCACTGCGAGCGTGCCGTGCCTCGGGTTGGGGCCCAGCAGCCCCTCTCGCGGCCGTCAGAGAGCGGGCCCCGGGCCCCGTGGGCTCCACCGCAGTGGCCTCTCCCTTGCCACGGGACGGCGGAAGCCCACCCCGCCCGCACCCCCTGCCCTGGTGCTGAGGAGGCGCTCTGAGGGGGCAGCCGCCCGCCCCAGCCTCCTTGCGGCCCCAGGGCCTGTCCCACGCAAGGGCAACGAGGAGCTGGAGCAGAGCCGGCCGGCCGCAGGCCACCCGTCCCAGGAGAGGAGGAGAGGTCTGGTGGACTGCCCTGAGGGGCTGGGGTGCAGCACCCTGACCCCCAGCGCTTTTGGGCACCTGCGGCTTGACTCGCTGACTCGAGCCGCTGCTGGGCAGGGCAGGGCAGCCCCCTCTGCCCTTGGGGACACGGAGGAGGGCTGAGCAGCCCAGCCGGCATGCAGGTGGGCGCCGTGGGTCGCCCCCTCCGAAGGGCCCCGTGGGATCTCGGCCACCGTCCCCCGCCGGGGGCCAGAAGAGCTCGTGGGCGCAGGCCTGCAGGGGGGCGAGGTTCCCCCTTCGCGCCAGCGCTGCGCATGGCTGCCGCCACGTCCCTCGCCCTGCCAGCCGCCAGCCCTTTGTGCGCTCGCAGAGGCATTTCCTGAGCGGCCGGAACGTCCCCACCTGAGCCGCGGCGCCCTTCCCTTGGACGGCCTCCCCTCTCACTCCGGGCACTGCGGTGGGGGCGGCCGCTCCCCACGGATGCGGGGGGGGGGGGCGGCCCGAAATAGCCGCACGCCTGCGTCCAGGGGGGCGGGCAGGGGGGAGCCGCGTCTAAATTTAGCCCGGCCCGCTTGCCCTTCGCGCTGGCAGACAATGGCCAGCACGCGCGGCCGGCCACGCACCTGCCCGCAGCGGAAGGGCCCCCCCGCCCTGGGGGCTCCGGCCCGGCGGAGGGCGAGCCGCTACCCGGCCGTGGGCACGTCGGCACCTGCCGCCCGCCAGCCCCGTCGCTCGCCCGCCCGCCCGCCCTCCTGGGACCCCCCCCAGCCCGAGCAGCGGGCACCGGCGAGGCGTCTCGCTGCCCCCGGCTCCCGCTGGCCCGGCGCTCCCCCCCGGAGCGGCCCCCGTGCCCCGCGAGTGGGGCGCGGTGCCCCGAGGGCCCTGCACAGCCCCTGGCCGCTCCTCCAGAGCCGTTTCCGTTCCCAGCCCGCCCGCCCCCCCCTT